GGACAACATCTCAGACCGCGTACTGAAGAAAATTGGCCAGTACTGCACCCAGCCAGACTTTCATCCGGAGATCATAGGACGGGTCTCCCTGGCCGCCAAGTCCCTCTGCATGTGGGTCAGAGCCATGGAGGTGAGCTGTATACATACACATACACTCAGTGGCCAGTTTATTAGGTACACCCATCTAGTACCGGGTTGGACCCCCCTTTGCCTGCAGAACAGCCTGAATTCTTCGGGGAATGGAAACGTTGCTCAATTGGTATCAAGGGACCTAACGTGTGCCAGGAAAACATTCCCCACACCATTACACCACCGCCACCAGCCTGTACAGTTGACACCAGGCAGGATGGGGCCATGGACTCATGCTGCTTATGCCAAATCCTGACTCTGCCATCAGCATGACACAACAGGAACCAGGATTCGTTGGACCAGGCAATGTTTTTCCACTCCTCAATTGACCATTGTTGGTGATCGTGTGCCACTGGAGCCACTTCGTCTTGATTTTAGCTGATAGGAGTGGAACCCGGTGTGGTCATCTGCTGCAATAGCCCATCCGTGACAAGGACTGACGAGTTGTGCGTTCTGAGATGCCGTTCTGCACCCCACTGTTATAATGCGTTATTTGCCTGTTTGTGGCCCGCTTGCATGATTCTTGCCATTCTCCTTCGACCTCTCATAAACAAGCAGTTTTATCGCCCAAAGTACTGCCGCTGACTGGATGTTTTTTGTTTGTCGCACCATTTTCGGTAAACCCTAGACACTGTCGTGTGTGAAAAGCCCAGGAGGCCGTCCGTTTCTGAGATACTGGATCCGGCGCCTGGCACCGACGATCATACCACGCTCAAAAGTCGCTTAGGTCACTCGTTTTGCCCATTCTAATGTTCAATCAAACAGTAACTGGATGCCTCGATGTCTGTCTGCCTGCTTTATTTAGCAAGCCACGGCCACTGTCTGTAGGAGCGAACCATTTTGGTAAACTGGCCACTGACTATACACACACTCACCACACCTATACCTTCAACTACCAGCTGTTACTGTATGTCTCTCTCCCTCTCTATGGTGGCACGCCATGTGATTAAAGTAAGACAAAAAGTCAAAAAGTCTCTCTCTCATTCCCGCTCTCTCTCTCTCTCATTCCCGCTCTCTCTCTCTCTCTCTCTCTCTCTCTCTCTCTCTCTCTCTCGCTCTCATCTCTCTCTCTTTGCTCTCTTCACTCTCTCTCTCTCTCTCTCTCTCTCTCTCTCTCTCTCTCTTCTCTCTCTCTCTCTCTCTCTCTCTCTGTATCTCTCTCCCAGGTGTATGGTCGTATCTTCAGGGTGGTGGAGCCTAAGAGAGCCAGGCTGAACGGTGCCATGTCCCAGCTGGCAGAGAAACAGGCTTCCCTGGCAGAGGCCCAGGCGAAACTCAGAGAGGTACACACACGCACACTCGCGCACACACACACCAACTCAGAGAGGTACTGTACAGGGGTGGAGAGGAGAGGAGACCTGCCTGCCTGCATGGGAAATACTCACTATAGCTGATTCGTTTCTGGAGTGTCAATGAGTCTGTGTGAGTGTTGGTGTTTCTGATTGGTACTCATGTGCTTTTTGGAAGTGAGGATAGTAAAAATGGAGATGAATCTAGTTGCGTGCGAATCTGTGTGCTGTATTTTGTGTGTGTGTGTGTGTAGGTAGGGGAGAAGCTGGAACTGTTGAAGAGGCAGTATGATGAGAAGCTGGCTCAGAAGGAGGAGTTGAGGAGGAAGTCAGAGGACATGGAGATCAAACTGGACCGGGCCGGGAAACTGGTGTCTGGACTGGCTGGAGAGAGAATCCGCTGGGAGGAGACCGTGGTGGTACGACCCCCTATTATTGAGCTCACACAGCCAGCTAAAACACACTATCACACACACAACTCATCACACAGCTTTCACACCAGTAGTGTGTCTGAATCAAGTTTCAAAGAGTCATTTGGTCAGAAGATCAAAATGATCATTTCTTATCATTAAAGTTGACCGGTAGCTTTTCTCCTTCATCTTTCTTTGTTTTGATGGTCACATCCATGAGTGTGACCTGGAGATGTGTGTGTATCTCAGGGTTTGGAGAAGAACATGGGTTTTCTGGTAGGAGACTGTCTGCTGGCTGCAGCCTTCCTCTCCTACATGGGGCCTTTCCTCTCCAACTACAGAGACGAGCTGGTCTCTAAATGGATGAAACAGGTGAGTGACAATGTCACTGTCTGGATTTTCCTCCACTTTGTCACAGCACACCAGTATGTGAAAATGTATTTGTGTGGATATATTATTCACTGTTATCTCCATGTCTCTCTCTCGCACACTCACACACACATTCAACCACATTCCCTGTTGCTTTTTCTTCTTTTCTTCTTAGTGCTTTCTTTCTTGCGTGGTGAGTATGCGTAGGGAGGGCGGGGGGACTGGGAGGGGGGAGGGAGGGAGGGAGTGATGATAGTGATCAGAGAAAGAAGAAGAAGAGAAGAAGGAGATAAGAAGAAGAAACGAATCCAGACACAAAGAAAGAAAGGAAAGAAAGAAAAAAGAAAGAAAGAAATGAAGAAAGAAAAAGACCGGCAGAACAGAAAGAAAGAAAAAGAGACCGAACAGCAGAACAACGCCACTCCCTCACTTAAAACCTCCCATCCACTTCCTCCCTCCCTACTCCTCCTCACTCCCTCCCTTCCTCCCTCCCCCCCCCTTCCTCCCTCCCTGCCCTTTCTCCATCAGGTGCGTGAGTTGGAGGTGCCGTGTTCTCCAGGGTTTAGTTTCGCTGTGTTCCTGTCCAAGCCCACGGCCGTAAGGGACTGGAACATCCAGGGTCTGCCCTCCGATGCCTTCTCCACCGAGAACGGAGTCATCGTCACCCGCGGCAACCGGTCAGACAGCACACACACACACACACATTCAGTAGAGACTAGTATTGTTATTCAGTTCTCACCGTCTTTGCTTAGTGCTTAGTTTCATATTTATAATATTACTTCAATAGTCTAGACGAGACAAAACTGCTCTATTTATAATCAAACAAAGATTACACCTATCTCAGTCTCACAGACCTCACTGATAAGGATAAGAAGACATGGATACTAGAGTTTGGGTGTTGTGGCTACTGTCTAGCTTGATAATGTAAACGTATTGCGTCTGTTTGTTTTTCCAAGATGGCCACTGATGGTGGACCCACAAGGCCAAGCCCTGAAGTGGATCAAAAACATGGAGATGAAGAGGGTGAGACCTGCTTTGTACATATGTGACCGACCGGCTTGATTCGGTCTTATGTAGCAAAATATTTTTTATTTTTATTTTTATTTTTTACAACGGATAAAAGTAGAGACTGAGAGCTAGAAAATTGTATATCATACACTACAGTTAAGGAAATATGGGAAAGTAATTCTGCTTTGAAAGTTGATAAACTTGTAATCTCACTTTTGAGAAAATGGTCTTTGAATGTTTTGGTACACCTACTGGAGACCTCTTCTTTCTCTACACCCATTCAGCATCGTTCACACCCTCTTAAGCTTTAGCCCCACCCATCTCTTTGATCCGAGCGTTCTGTTCTAACAACAGCGGTCAAGCACCCAAGCTAACTGGCTAACGTTGGCTAGTTTGCTAGCTACTTCCAGACACAAATGAGAGAACAGCTGACTCTGACCATTTTACTCGTTCTAGCAGAGCTGGTTAGGCAGTTTTTATGTTATCCAGAGCGTTGGTGACTGCAACTGTGTTGCTGGTAACAATTTACGCTTTTTTGCCAATGTTTACTGACACCGGCCATATTCAATGGGTGTTGAGCGTTCGTACATCCGTCAGTTATTCTGCGCTCTGGCACACTCAGACGAGAGTGCTCTGAAATCGGCGTAGATAGCCAGAGCGAATTTATCAGCTACGTCTATCAACAGTTGTCGCATTGACATCATTAACATTCTATTGAAATGGTTAGCTAGCTAGCTAAACAATGAACCATAATCCCAACTCATGACGTTACTACCCTGCATGAATCTGCAGGTAGCTAACCAACCAGGTTCAATGTTAGCTAGCTAACATTAGGCTATAACTAGCAAAGCAAATGGCTCTGAGATACGAATAATATTACTACACAGATCATACATGTAATGTTAGCTAGCGAGCCAGCCAGCTAATGTTAGCTAGCTAGCTAACAGTACACTTTAACTTGAAATGAAAACGACTTTCTGACAAAATTTGAAACGTGTAATAACTGAAAATGTAGCTAGCTAGACTATCTTACCCGTATACAAGGATGGACGCTTCTCCCTCTCTCACGGATGCCATGGTTGCCCTTAGTTTGAAGATGTAATCCGGAGACAGGTGTTTTCTCCATCTCCTTAGCTATCATACTGAAATTCCACTGATTTCAAAACTCGGTCCTGCAGAAAGTGGAGAGCAACACTTATGCAGTTCTACTAAGTGATATATATATTTTAAGGCCGCGTTAGACAGGATTACCTACACATATTGACCAGCTCAAATAGACAGAAGCCTGCTACATGGAAGACCAATCCGAACTCATCTCTCGGCATGTCCAGCCCACTCATTATCTCAGCCAATCATGGCTAGCGGGAAGGTTGCTGTCTTTTTCTGTGGCTAAACCAACTAGGCTCGTAATTTAACAACTTTATTCGTATTTACAGATGGCATACAAGTTTGTTATTAAGGTACATGAAAGTTCACATGTTCCAGAAGGCATTTCTGCCAAATAAACGTATTTTGATTTTAAAAAAAAGTTTACGTTCAAATGGCTCTCCTGTGAAGTAGTGATGCGCGACATACGCCTAGTTTCCTGAAACGAGTCACATATTATGTCTTTCTCTCTCCTCACTTCTCACATTTCTCTCTGCCACTGTCTACTTTCATGGTATTGACCTCGTACTCTCTACTTGTGTGTTTGTCTACGCATTCCATGTAACATGAATAGACAAAAAAGTATTTTTCAAAGCTCTTTCTCTTGCTCTACTCACCCGTGACCTTTACCATACTTACAATGTTTACCATGTTGAAAGGTCACAAGGTCCCTGAAAACATGAAGCATAACACGTACAATATACAGTAACAGCAACATTCATTATATATTAGATCCCCTGAAGGAGCCAAAATTGAGCCAGATTCTCCACCGTAATCCCATCAACAAAGCACGTTTGAGATAGGTTTTGACATTTTAATGCTTTTAGTTAAGACCAGTAGGCTTCCTTCATCAGATAAGGTCCTTTCAGCACAGCACACACACACACACACACACACACACACACTCACACACACACACACACGCACACGCGCACACAAACACACACAGAGACCCAAGTGAACAAAGAGTAAGTTTACAACTTAATATTTTCCTCCCCAGCTCTGCGGTTTCTCTCCTCCTTTCTTTCCTCCTTCTCTCCTCCTCCTTTCTTCAAACACTTGTTGTATGTGTTCCCTCTCTCCTTTTGGCATTTCAATAAGCAGTTTGGCCCTCTCGGTCAGTAAAGTAACGTCAGTAAAAAACTGTCCATTTCTTCAAAGGGCACCCTTTTCTGTCTGTCTGTCTGTCTGTCTGTCTGTGTGTGTTTGAAAGAAAGAGAGCGAGAGAGAGAATAGGCAGGTGTGTGTAGTTAACCTAAGAGTGAGTGATGGTGAAGGGAGGGAGGGGGGAGAGAGTGACTCAGGCACCCCTTCTGTTTTTCTCAGTCTGGACCACTCTATGGGTCACCATGCCTTTCTTTCTGTCACTCTCAGACAAGACAGACGACACCCATTTTCACCCACGTCTGCCCAGGACCTCTACCTCTCCTCTCTTCTCTTCTCCTCGCTTCTCCTCTCATCTCTTCTCATCTCTTCTCCTCTCATCTCTTCTCATCTCTTCTCCTCTCTTCTCCTCTCATCTCTTCATCATCTCTTCTCCTCTCTTCTCCTCTCATCTCTTCTCATCTCTTCTCCTCTCTTCTCCTCTCTTCTCCTCTCTTCTCCTCTCTTCTCCTTTCTTCTCTTCTCCTCACTTCTCTTCTCTGGCCAATGTCACTTCTTATGTATATCCCTCCCTCCCTCCCTCCTCTCCTTTGTTCTCCTCTCTTCTTTCTCTCCCTCTCTGACCTTTCACTCCTCTCTCCAGCTACTTTCAGCCTGGTCTCATCAGCACCACTCCACTCCAATGCTCTCCTTAAATATGGCCAAAACGCTGACATTTAGGGACAATTGGGCAACAGCGGTTAACAGGCGTGTAGTGCTGAGCAATTAATCGAAATGTCACTTATTTTTTCGTTTTTTAAACAATAATTGACAAAGTGGGTTCATTTATTTGAATTCCATTTTTCTTTTCTTTGAGCTCAATGCGCATGTTGCGCTGCAGTTTCTCTATAGATAAATCAGCTCATGCCCGAACTGTGCGATGTAGTAAGAAGTTGTAGTTTCCAACAGGCCAATGTTCTACATAGTTTAGCACAGAAAATGTGATAATTAACTACAATGGCCATAATCCATTGCGCGGTTACTTGTCCGGTCTGTGTTTCTTTTACGTCTGCTACATAAGTGAAAGAAGAATGCGCGATCAAGAGGGGATACATAGAGAGCAGTTTTTTCTGAGGTATCTCTACCTGAAAATACATGATCTAAGTGATTGATAGTTGATATTCAGCAGTCATAAAAGTATTTACTTTGAAGAACTACTACAACGATTTGTAGTAATGATCTTGTCAGACAGCATAGGCATCAGCTCTATAGAGATGACATGATGACTTGGAATGAAACAATAAAGTCATCAAATAAAACAAATGTAATATACACAACAACTGAAATATTTTATTAAAAGTAATGTGAATAACTGATAGTTAATAAGTGTTAAGCAGTCATGGGCAGTAACTTCCAGCATGGTACTTTTATTAATTGTTTTATTCTGTGTTATTACAGCATTCAACCCACATAATGCATAGTGCATTTAATATAATTTGTTTTCGTCAAAACCTAAATCGAAAATCGTGATTATTTAGTAATAATTGAACCGAAACCGAACCGACCTAAAAAAACACTAATCGCTCAGCACTACAGGCGTGAAACAATGTCTACCCATTTTTCACTTTACACTGTTTGCTTTCTCTTCTCTCATTCACTGGGCTCTCTTCTCTCTCTTTCTCTTCTCTCATTCACTGGGCTCTCTTCTCTCTCTTTCTCTTCTCTCATTCACTGGGCTCTCTTCTCTCTCTTTCTCTTCTCTCATTCACTGGGCTCTCTTCTCTCTCTTTCTCTTCTCTCATTCACTGGGCTCTCTTCTCTCTCTTTCTCTTCTCTCCTTTTGCCTTCATGCTTTCCATCACTAGTATTTGCTTTTGTTTGTTTGTTTATTTGTCTTGGTCTCTCCCTCTTTCTCTTTCTTTCTCTCTCCATCCTTCTCTCTCTCTCTTTCTCCCTCTCTCAGGGTCTGAAAGTGATAGACCTTCAGATGCCAGACTTCCTGCGTATCTTGGAGAACGCGGTGCAGTTTGGTTCTCCTGTTCTGCTGCAAAACGTCCAGGAGGAACTAGATCCCTCACTGGCCCCCATCCTCAACAAGTCTCTCACACACGTCGGTGGAAGGCTCCTGTTGAAGTTAGGTGAAAAAGAGGTGGAGTACAGCCCAGCGTTTAGATTCTACATCACCACCAAGCTGTCCAACCCTCACTACACCCCCGAGATCTCCACCAAGACCACCATCGTCAATTTTGCTGTCAAGGAACAGGTCGGTACATGTGTTTGTGTGTGTAATCTTTGCGTTCGTAGGCGTAATCTGTGTATGTAGATGAGTGTGTTTCGACATGTCCACACCGCGTGTGTGTGTGTGTATATTTCTAACCTTGTGCATGTATGGTGTGTGCATATGCCAGGGCCTGGAGGCCCAGCTCCTAGGGATCGTGGTGAGGAAGGAGCGTCCAGAGTTAGAGGAGCAGAAAGACTCTCTAGTCATCAACATCGCCTCTGGCAAGAGGAAGCTACAGGAGCTGGAGGACGAGATCCTCAGGTACATTTACATTTTAGTCATTTAGCAGAAGCTCTTATACAGAGCGACTTACAGGAGCAATTAGGGTTAAGTGCCTTGCTCAAGGGCACATCGGCAGATTTTTCACCTAGTCGGCTTGTGGATTCGTACCAGCGACATTTCAGTTACTGGCCCAACGCTCTTAACCGCTAGGCCAACTGCACACCATACACTACTCCTACACTATAATACTCACTACTATCATACTAACACTAAATACTACATACTACACTACTAACACACTACTACCACTACTCACATATACATACTACTATACATACTACTGGCTGATTTCAATTTGTCTGTCATAGTTGACGTGTACCTATGATGAAAATTACAGGCCTCTCTCATCTTTTTAAGTGGGAGAACTTGCACAATTGGTGGCTGACTAAATACTTTTTTTCCCCACTGTACATACTACTATACATACTACACTACTATATACTATACTACTACATACTACACTACTATACATACTACACTACTATACCACTACATACTACACTACTACATACTACACTACTATACATACTACACTACTACATACTACACTACTATACATACTACTCTACTATACATACTACATACTACACTACTACATACTACTCTACTACATACTACACTACTACATACTACACTACTACACTACTACACTACTGCATACTACACTACTACATACTACACTACTATACATACTACTATACATACTACACTACTATACATACTACACACTCAGCTACACTACGACATACTAACTAAATACTACACTACTATACAACTACACTACTACATACTACACTACTATACACTACACTACGACATACATACACAACTACTATACATACTACACACTACAACTACACTACTACATACTACACACTACATACAACTACATACATACTACACTACTACATACTACACACATACACACTACATACATACTACACTACACAACTACACTACTACATACTACAACGTACGACTACAACTACATACTACACTACACAGACGACACTACTATACCATACACACTATAGACATACTACACTACTAACACACATTACATACTACACTACTACATACTACACTACTATGACATACACTACTACGACAGTACTACACTACTATACATACTACATACGACTACTACACACTACTACATACTACACTACTACAGACATACGACACACGACAGACACACGACACTAGACACGACGACATACAGACAGACGACACACGACACATATACATCGACACATGAAGACTACAACTACATAACACGACAGATACGACGACAAAGACGAACGACTACAGAGACACGGACTACCTACAGACCACTACAGTACACACTAAACTACAACAGACACACAGATACATACACTACATACTACCACACTACAGAATAACTACATACAGTAGACTACACTACACTACTATACATACTACACTACTATACACACTACACTACTATCCATACTACACTACTACATACACTCTTAGAAAATGGGTTCCAGAAGGGTTCTGCGGCTGTCCCCATAGGATAAACCTTTTTGGTTCCAGGTAGAACTCCTTTGGGTTCCATTTAGAATCCTCTGTGGAAAGGGTTCTACATGGAACCCAAAAGGGTTCTACCTGGAACCAAACGGGTTCTACATGGAACCAAAAGAGGTTCTTGAAAGGGTTCTCCAATGGGAACAGCCGAATAACCCCTTTTGGTTCTAGATATCACCTTTTTTTCTAAGTGTGTACTACACTACTACATACTACACTAATAGTAAATAGTAATACTGCAGTATTTTATTATACTAACCCATTATACTGACCCAACTGTCTGTTAATGCCCTAGCTACAATTTCAACATTACATTTTAGTCATGTTCTAGTCATTTAGTTATTTTCGATTTTTTTTAAAATCAGAATGATTTACAATACGTGCATTTAAATAAAAAGAAACAACCATATACAGTAGCTTGATCTTCACAATTAAAGCCTTCTTCAGAAAAGTGCTGGTAACAATCACAGTGCTAGAAAAATAATAATAATTGTATGTATTGCAGGCTGTTGAATGAGGCAACGGGTTCTCTCCTGGATGATGTTCAGCTGGTGAACACCCTGCAAACGTCTAAAGTGACGGCCACAGAGGTCTCAGAACAACTGGAGACCAGCGAACTGACTGAGATCAAGATCGACACGGCCAGAGAGGTGAGGAGGGAGGGAGGAAGGGAGGGAGGGTAGGGGAGAGGAGGTGAGGAGGGAGAGAGGGAGGATAGGGGAGAGGGGGGTGAGGAGAGAGGGAGGGAGGGTAGGGGAGAGGGGGTGAGGAGGGAGGGAGGGAGGGAGGGAGGATAGGGGAGAGGGGGGGTGAGGAGGGAGGGAAGGTAGGGGAGAGGGGGTGAGGAGGGAGGGAGGGAGGATAGGGGAGAGGGGGTGAGGAGGGAGGGAGGGAGGGTAGGGGAGGGGGGGTGAGGAGTGAGGGAGGTGGTGAAGAGGTGAGAAGGGGTGGAGGGGGTGAGGAGGGAAAGAGGCGTTGAGGAGGTTGTATAAATGACTATGTAGACATAACAGAACATTATGTCTCTTTTATAACAGGTATAATTGCTTTATAAATGCTACATTATCACCATTCTAAGTTGAGTGTTACTGACCAATGTCTTCATGAAAGCCATATATCCATGTCCTCCCCTCTAGGCGTACCGTCCGTGTGCCCAGCGGGCCTCCATCCTGTTCTTTGTATTAAACGATATGGGCCGTATCGACCCCATGTACCAGTTCAGTTGGATGCCTACATAGACCTGTTCAACCTCAGCATAGAGAAGAGTCAGCGCTCACACAAACTGGACGAGAGGATCGCCAACCTCAACGACTACCACACATACGCTGTCTACAGGTACAACATAATATAATATAACCTCAACGACTACCACACATCGCTGTCTACAGGTGACAACATAATAATAATTATACCTCCAACGACTACCCACACATACCGCTGGTCTACAGGTACAACATAATTCTAATATAACCTCAACGGACGTACCACCACATACGCTTGTCTACAGGTTAACAAACATATATATAATATAACCTCAACGACTACCACACATACGCTGTCTACAGGTACAACATAATATAATATAACCTCAACGACTACCACACATACGCTGTCTACAGGTACAACATAATATAATATAACCTCAACGACTACCACACATACGCTGTCTACAGGGACTAGAATAATGATAGGAATGATGATGAATTTTGGTATAATGTATATACAGTTGAAGTCGGAAGTTTACATACACCTTAGCCAAATACATTTAAACTCAGTTTTTCACAATTCCTGACATTTAATCCTAGTAAAAATTCCCTGTCTTAGGTCAGTTAGGATCACCACTTTATTTTAAGTAGAGAGAATGATTTATTTCAGCTTTTATTTCTTTCATCACATTCCCAGTGGGTCAGAAGTTTGCATACACTCAATTAGTATTTAGTAGCATTGCCTTGAAATTGTTTACCTTGGGTCAAACGTTTCGGGTAGCCTTCCACAAGCTTCCCACAATAAGTTGGGTGAATTTTGGCCCATTCCTCCTGACAGAGCTGGTGTAACTGAGTCAGGTTTGTAGGCCTCCTTGCTCGCACACGCTTTTTCAGTTCTGCCCACACATTTTCTATAGGATTGAGGTCAGGGCTTTGTGATGGCCACTCCAATACCTTGACTTTGTTGTCCTTAAGCCATTTTGCCACAACTTTGGAAGTATGCTTGGGGTCATTGTCCATTTGGAAGAGCCATTTGCGACCACGCTTTAACTTCCTGACTGATGTCTTGAGATGTTGCTTCAATATATCCACATAATTTTCCTTCCTCATGATGCCATCTATTTTGTGAAGTGTACCAATCCCTCCTACAACAAAGCACCCCCACAGCATGATGCTGCCACCCCCGTGCTTCACAGTTGGGATGGTGTTCTTCGGCTTGCAAGCATCCCCCCTTTTTCCTCCAAACATAACAATGGTCATTATGGCCAAACAGTTCTATTTTTGTTTCATCAGACCAGAGGACATTTCTCCAAAAAGTACGATCTTTGTCCCCATGTGCAGTTGCAAACCGTAGTCTGGCTTTTTTATGGCGGCTTTGGAGCAGAGGCTTCTTCCTTGCTGAGCGGCCTTTCAGGTTATGTCGATATAGAACTCGTTTTACTGTGGATATAGATACTTTTGTACCTGTTTCCTCCAGCATCTTCACAAGGTCCTTTGCTGTTGTTCTGGGATTGATTTTGCACTTTTCGCACCAAAGTACGTTCATCTCTAGGAGACAGAACGCGTCTCCTTCCTGAGCGGTATGACAGCTGCGTGGTCCCATGGTGTTTATACTTGCATACTATTGTTTGTCAAGATGAACGTGGTACCTTCAGGCGTTTGGAAATTGGATGAACCAGACTTGTGGAGGTCTACAATTTTTTTCCTGAGGTCTTGGCTGATTTCTTTAGATTTTTCCATGATGTCAAGCAAAGAGGCACTGAGTTTGAAGGTAGGGCTTGAAATACATCCACAGGTACACCTCCAATCTACTCAAATTATGTCAATTAGCCTATCAGAAGCTTCTAAAGCCATGACATCATTTTCTGGAATTTTCTAAGCTGTTTAAAGGCACAGTCAACTTAGTGTATGTAAACTTCTGACCCACTGGAATTGAGATACAGTGAATTATAAGTGAAATAATCTGTCTGTAAGCAATTGTTACTTGTGTCATGCACAAAGTAGATGTCCTAACCGACTTGCCAAAACTATAGTTTGTTAACAAGACATTTGTGGAGTGGTTGAAAAACAAGTTTTAATGACTCCAACCTAAGTGTATGTAAACTTCCGACTTCAACTGTATATATAAATGTGAAGTGATTAACAAAATAATACACAGACAAAGCTGCAACACAGAACACACATTAGATACTAAATACAGATTACCATAGAGGTACAATACAGTCCTGTACTGTTTAATTCTGTGGAGATAACCTCTTCTTCCAGTGTCTTCAAGTGTGTGTACAACCAAGTTTGATCAAGACTGTCCCTGTCTTCTCCAGGTACACGTGTCGTGGTCTGTTTGAGGTCCACAAGCTGCTCTTCAGTTTCCAGATTTGTGCTAAGATCCTGGAGGTGGCTGGTAAACTCAACATGGACGAATACAGCTTCTTCCTCAGGGGAGGACTGGTGAGACACACACACACAGAACAGACTGAATGTGCCATTCAATTGATCACAATTGTATTAGTCCTCTAAGGATTAATGAGGAAGGTATTGTCAAGCACACAGTTAGTCAATAAATCTTCCTCAAGCAGCAGACTGAGACATGTTACAAGAGCTAGTACTGAATGGGCAGTTATATAGGTGCCATAATGCGAAAATGTACAATAAACTAGAAAACACATCCATTAAAATGTCTCTCTCTCTCTCGCCTCCCTCCCCCCTCTCTCTCTCCTCTAGGTTCTAGATAAGGAGAGTCAGATGGAGAACCCGTGTTCTAGCTGGCTGGCTGAGTCTAACTGGGACAATGTGACAGAGCTGGACAAGCTGGCTAACTTCCACGGCCTCATGGCCTCCTTCGAACAGTACCCCCGAGACTGGAACCTTTGGTACACGAGTGCCGGGCCTGAGACCGCACAGCTACCTGGTGAGAGGGGTAGGGTTGGGAGTGTGTGTGTGTGACTACACAGTATGTCATGCCTGCATATCAGTTAATGTGTGTGTCTCTATGAATGAATCCATCTTGTTTTCTTATGTGCAACAGTTGGATACCATTTGTATGTGTAGTAAAATATAGTTTATATAGTTTTAATTTGTCATTGTTAGATTGATGATGAATATCATTCTACTCCTCTCTTGTCTCTCTCTCTCGCTCGCTCTCTCTCAATTCAGTGGGCTTTATTGGCATGGGAAACATGTTGTGATGCGTGATTTGAAGGAGTCAGGCGCAGGAGGGTAAATCACAGTATACAGAGTTTATTCCGTAATCCAGCGTAACCAGTCCAGTGCGCAAAACAGGCGCACTGGAACAAACATGCACACAGGGAAAATACCCCGGCAATACAAAATACTGAGCTCAACCGAGCTACTAATCCTCACAATGAACAATCACCCACAAGGACAAGGGGGGCAGAGGGAACACTTAAACACGTACTAATGATGGGAATATGAACCAGGTGTGTGTAATTGACAAGACAAGACAAATGGAATGATGAGATATGGAGCGGCAGTGGCTAGAAGGCCGGTATCCGAGGAAGGAGACGGACTGCTGGAAAAACAGACACTTTTCTGCCTTGGCATAAAAGTCGTTTTCCAACAGTCGGGCCAGCACTTTGCGAACCAGGGACACATGCTCGGCGCGCATAGTGGAATACACCAGAATGTCATCGATGTAGACCACTACACCGCGACCAAGCATGTCCCGAAACACCTCGTTCACAAAGGACTGGAAGACGGATGGAGCATTCATCAAACCGTAGGGCATCACCAGGTATTCATAATGCACCGTGGTTGTGATGAATGCTGTCTTCCACTCATTCCCCTCTCGGACACGCACCAGGTTGTACGCACTCCAGAGATCTAATTTGGTGATTAGCGCGCCCCATGCATTGACTCGATCACTGAAGGAATGAGGGGGAGAGGATAACTAAACTCGTATCGTCTCCTTGTTCAGTGATCGATAATCAATGCAAGGGCGCAGACCGCCATCTTTCTTCTTCACAAAAAATAAACTTGAGGAGGCGGGTGAAGTGGAGGGACATATAAACCCCTGGCACAGGGACTCGATGACGTATGTTTCCATAGCCTCCATTTCAGCCTGTGACAGGGGATACACATGACTCCTGGGAGGCAAAGCGTCTACCCGGAGGTTTATCGCGCAATCCCCCGCCCGATTAGGTGGTAACTTGGTCGCCTGCATTTTGAAAAAAACGCATGCGCCAAATCGAGGTATTCGGGGGGGAATGCGCACGGTGGAGGTACTGTCTGGACTTTCCACCGTGGTTGCACCAACGGAAACACCAAGACACCTACCCTCACAATCTCGCGACCACCCCGTGAGAACCCTCTGCGGCCATGAGAAGGTGGGGTTGTGGAGTGCTAGCCAAGGGATACCTAGTACCACAGGGAAAGCAGGAGACTCAATGATAAAAAACGTGACTTGCTCGCAATGAGTCTCGTGGGTAACCATGGTGATTGGTGTGGTAACTTCCCTAACAAACCCGGACCCTAATGGTTGACTGTCAAGTGCTCTGATGGGGAGTGGAATGGATAGGGGAACCAATTAAATGCCTAGACTGTGTGAGAATGCCCTGTCCATAAAATTCCTAGCTGCGCCTGAATCGACTAGCGCCTTACACTGGGGAACTACAATGTGATCAGGAAAGTGGATGGGTAGGGTACAGTGCGCAGCAGAGGGCTCTGAACAAGTGTGGGTGTTCGATACCTGGGGTGATGCGAGAGTGCCCTGCCTGCCGCCTCCAGACTCAAAAGAACGCTGACGGCATCATGCGGTGTAATGTCCCTTCGTGCCACCAGAGTGACACTGGCGCTGTCGTCCTCCGCTCTCTCGGATCGCGGCTCCACCCAGCTCCATCAGCTCGTGATCCGAGTCGGCCAGGGTTGGAACGGGCAGACCCCCTCCAGGACGTCCTCTGGCCGCCAGCAGGTTGTCCAAACGGATGGCCATGTTCACCAGTTGCGTGAAGGACAACATGGTGTCCCAGCAGGCTAGCTCCCTTCGGATGTCCTCCCGCAGATGGCACCGGAAGTGGTCGATAAGGGCCCGCTCGTTCCACCCGGACCCAGCTGCTAGAGTCTGAAACTCCAAGGCGAAGTCCTGCGCAGTCATCGTCCCCTGCCTCAGGTGGACCAGCCGCTCGCCCGCCTCTCGACCTTCGGGCGGGTGATCGAAGACAGCCCGAAAGAGGCGAGCGAACTCCCCGTAGTTGTCCAACGCGGCTCCTCCTTCGTTCCAGACCGCGTTGGCCCACTCCAGGGCTTTCCCCAAGAGGCAGGAGACGAGGGCGGACACCTTCTCCCGCTCCGATGGGACTGGCCTGATGCTGGAGAAGTAGAGCTCCAGTTTGAGGAGGAATCCCTGGCAGAGAGCAGCTGTCCCGTCGAACTCCTGTGGTCAGGATATATGGATCCCTCTGGGTGCTGGGGTGTGGGTTGCTGGATCCGGTTGCCCAACTGGTCTCGACAGATCGGGTCCTCTCCTCTCCAGGTGTTGGACGACCTGGAGAACCCGATCCATCGCTTCTCACAAGCTGGCTAGCATTGTTGAATGCTCCTGGACCCGTGCCACGTCTCCAGGCATGTGCTCCTCTCCTGCTGACTCCATTTCGGGTGGGTGATTCTGTGATGTGTGATTTGAAGGAGTCAGGCGCAGGAGGGTAAATCACAGTATACAGAGTTTATTACGTAATCCAAAATACTGAGCTCAACCGAGCTACTAATCCTCACAATGAACAATCACCCACAAGGACAAGGGGGGCAGAGGGAACACTTATACATGTACTAATGAGGGGATATGAACCAGGTGTGTGTAATTGACAAGACAAGACAAATGGAATGATAAGATATGGAGCGGCAGTGGCTAGAAGGCCGGTGACGTTGAACACCGAAGCCTGCCCGAACAAGGAGGGGAGGCAGCTTCGGAGGAAGTCGTGACACATGTTTACATTGCCAAAGCAAGTGAAATAGATAATTTAAAAAAAGTGAAATAAACAATACAAAATTAACAGTAAACATTACACTCACAAAAGTTCCAACGGAATAGAGACATTTAAAATGTAATATTATGGCTATATACAGTGTTGTAACGATGTGCAAATAGGGAAAATAAATAAACCTAATATGGGTTGTATTTACAATGTTGTTTGTTCTTCACTGGTTGCCCTTTTCTTGTGGCAACAGGTCACATACCTTGCTGCTGTGATTGCACACTGTGGTATTTCACCTAACATATATGGGAGTTTATCAAAATCAATTTGTTTTCGAATTCTTTGTGGGTCTGTGTAATCTGAGGGAAATATGGTCATACAGTTGTCAGGAGGTTAGGAATTGCAGCTCAGTTTCCACCTCATTTTGTGCACATAGACTGTATTTTCTTAAGAGCCAGGTCTACCTACAGCGGCCTCTCTCAATAGCAAGGCTATATTCACTGAGTCTCTCTCTCTCTCTCTCCATACTGAAGGACTATTCATGCCTGTCACGTAGCAGTGTGTGGCTCTGTCACTATCACTGCTTTATTTCATTACGTTAATTAGATCACACAAAGTTCAGCTCAATATTAATATAATTACATGATGGAATTTGCTGCCATAGTTTATCCTCCCGGCTTGCCGTTAAAATCTATTCTTTATCTAAAACCCATTTGCCATTCATGCCATTATGATTCATTGTTGTTTAGTTGGAAAGTTTAGTTATCACTGGCGTTACTGAAAACACCCAACCAACGCTTTGCCTCTTTCTCCCCTTGTCGCCTTCACCTTCCATCCTTCTTCTCTAACCTCGCTGTCTTTCTGTCTCCTCCCCCATCCCTCTTTCCCTCCCCATCCCTCTCTCTATCCCTACCTCTCTCTCTTCTCCCTCCCTGCCTCTCTTTTTCCACCCCCCCCCCTACACCAGGTGAGTGGGAGAATGGTTGTAATGAGCTCCAGAGGATGTTGATCGTGCGCTCGCTGCGTCAGGACCGCGTCGCCTTCTGCGTCGCCTCCTTCATTATCAACAACCTGGGATCACGCTTCGTAGAGCCGCCCGTACTCGACATGAAGGCTGTGAGTGTGTGCCGGTGTGCTTATTTGTGTGCACGCGCATGTGACAAGACTGTGAGTGGCACTCGGAGGAGACTATTTGATCCCCCCTCCTGCTCTCTGTGTCACACTGTCTCACTTCCACGCTGACACATTCATCCTCAATGACGGCTGAGGCAACTGGCACAAGATGGCTGCCAGCCAGAGCCAAGATGGATCCCCAGTGTTGTGGAGGTGGTCAATTTTGAGATGGATCATTCTTCTCTTCTGGAGTTATTCCTGACCACTTGACCTGAACAGGAGAAACAATCCTCTGTGTATTGATGTATTGATGTGAAAGCACTTGGTAAACACGTTTCACATTTGTCACAAACCCATTGGGGGATGACACGTGCATCCTACTGCCATCAACTGTGACCATTAACAAGAACTGTACTAATACAATACTAATTTCTCTCTTGGTCCTCCTGTGATCTCTTCCCCTGTGTTGATGCTTCCCCCAGGTGGTGGAGGACTCGACCACTAAGACTCCCCTGATATTCGTGTTGTCTCCGGGGGTGGACCCTACAGGAGCCCTGCTACAGCTGGCTGAGACCTCAGGGATGAGCAGGAAATTCCATGCCCTCTCCCTGGGCCAGGGTCAAGCCCCCATCGCCACACGCATGATCAAAGAGGGAGTCAAGAACGGTATGAATCAGTCTCTTCTCTTGTCTCTCGCTCGCTCGCTCTCTCTCTCTCTCTCTCTCTCTCTCTCTCTTCTCTCCTGTTCTCTGCATCTGTGTCTGACCCAGTCCACCTCTTTTCTTATTCCCATTGATAGTTACTTCACTAAGTATTCATAGGAATCCTCTTTCTTTCTCTCTCAATCTATATATCCTCTCTCTCCCCCATGCCCTGTTTGTGTTCTGCAGTATCATTTGTTATGTTCTATCTGGCTGTCACTTTCTGTAGCTTTTTGTTATTTCAGCCACACCTCTCTATACTCTACCAAATGTCATCGCCATACATCAGATTGTACTCGCAATACATCAGTACTGTTGTTTTTGGAAAAGTCGATTTTTAATATCTCTTCTCCTCCACTCTTTCCTCTATTCCCCCCCCCCTCCCCTCCAGGTCATTGGGTGTTCCTGGCTAACTGCCACCTGTGTCTGTCCTGGATGCCCCAGCTGGATAAGTTAGTGGAACAGCTGCAGGTGGAGGAGCCCCATCCTGACTTCAGACTGTGGCTCAGCTCTTCTCCTCACCCTGACTTCCCCATCGCTATCCTACAGGCCGGCATCAAGATGACCACCGAACCGCCTTGGGTAGAGAGGATAGACACTACTGTACTCACACATACACACATACACACACACATACACACACACATACACACACACATACACACACACATACACACACACACACACACAGGCAGACACACACACACATACACACACACACACACATACAGGCAGACACACACATACAGGCAGACACACACATACAGGCAGACACACACACACACATACACATACACATACAGGCAGACACACACATACAGGCAGACACACACATGCAGGCACACACTTTGAGAGAACACATCTAGATACACACACATTTTCAGAATGATCTACCCTCTTTTGCCACTCAATTCTCTCTCCCCCTCCATCCCTCCCTCCCTCCCTCCTTCACTCTCTCTCTTCCTCAGGGTGTAAAGTCCAATATGAAACGCCTGTACCAGCTGGTGACAGAGAGTCAGTTCACACGCTGTGCCCGGCCTGTGTTCTACAGGAAGCTGCTCTTCGCCCTCTGTTTCTTCCACAGCATCCTCCTGGAGAGGAAGAAGTTCCTACAGCTGGGCTGGAACATCATCTACGGCTTCAACGACTCTGACTTCGAGGTAACACACACACACATGGGTTCCAGCCGTAGTCTTAAACATTCCACAACTTGGATCTTTCTACTTGGTAAAAATAGTCATTTAGGAGAAGGGAATGTCAGGTATTTCTGAGTCTGATATGGATTGTGAAGATTTAATGTTGAAGAATGCTTGGAAAACGGTGAAATAACTTTCCCTTATAGGACAATGAAGACTAGACTGTACTTTGGGTGGAATCCTAACAAAATGCTGACCACACTACATCCTATTGTGTTAGACCAAGCGTAGTGAATAAATCACCCATTAGGGGTGCTAACAGAAGCTGTGTCCTCATCCCCCCTCCTCTAGGTTAGTGAGAGTCTGATGAGTCTGTATTTAGATGAGTACGAGGAGATCCCCTGGGACGCCCTCAAGTACCTGATCGCCGGGGTCAACTACGGAGGTCACGTGACTGACGACTTTGACAGACGCCTGCTCACCACCTACATCAATGACTACTTCTGTGAGGCCACCGTCACAACGTCATTCTTCAAGTGAGCATGACACACACATACAGACACACACATACAGCAACACACACACAACAACTCTGTCTCTTTCATTCTGTCTCTCCTTCCCAAGCACACATAAGGATCTAGTCATGTCAGAGCGTACTGCGGCTGCTGTCTGGTTACAGGTACTCATAAAGACTGAAGACCGTGAGCACCACCATGTGGCCAGCATTGATATTACAGTCACCCTGTTGCTGCTTACGCCTACCCAGTACTTTCTAAGGGTCAATTTGGGATTGGACAACAATGCTCTACTCAAATACTTTCCTCTCCTCTAGACTCTCCTCTCTCCCTACCTACTATATCCCCCGGGACGGGCCCCAGTCCTCCTACAGGGAGTACATTAGCCACCTCCCAGCCACGGAGCACCCCGAGGTGTTCGGCCAGCACCCGAACGCCGACATCGCCTCCCAGATCGCTGAGACCAGGACCCTGTTTGACACCCTGCTCTCCCTGCAGCCCCAGGTCACTAGTGGAGCTACCGCCGGAGCAGGGGCCGGGCCCAGCAGAGAGAATAAGGTGAGTGAGAGGGGTGGGGGAGTTTTACAGTTGGAGGCTGTGTCATGTGTATTTGTGTAGCTCTGTATTTTTCTGCATATTTACTATCAGTGTAACAATTTCAGTCTCTCCCCTCTCGCTCCAGGTATCGGAGTTGGCCGCCGACGTGCTTCAGAAGATCCCTGGCCTTATAGACTATGAAGGGACCAGAGCCCTGCTGGCTGACGACCCCTCACCTCTCAACGTGGTCCTACTGCAGGAGATCCAGAGATACAATGCCCTGCTACACACCATCAGGTAGGACAGAGAGAAGAGAGGGAGTTGATGTAGGTAGGTGGTTTGTGCAGGGGCGTATAGCTGTAAATGTGTGTGTAAAAAATGAATACTGGATGGATAGTTTAACGGCGTGTGTGTGTGTGTCCAGGTCGTCTCTGATAGAGCTGGAGAAGGGGATCAAGGGTCTAGTGGTGATGTCTAGCAGCCTGGAGGAAACATTCCACTGCATCTTCGACGCCCGCGTCCCCCCACTTTGGGTGAAGGTAGGACACACACACACATACATATACACACACACAGAGACACATCCAGACACTCACACATGCACTCATAGATTGTTACAGGTCATAGACACACACAAAAACACACATTTACCATTTATCTCAAGGCATTCCATTCTGCTGTGTTTAGAGATGTAGGATTTATTTTCTATCCCGTGAGGATGCCATTGCTCTGTGGATTCGTTTTGTATTCTTTACAGTACTTGAGTCGCAAACCATTGTATGTTTGCTCTTTTAAGGGTGGGAGTGTTATGCAAATTAGAATAGTGAAAAGGAACAGTGAGAACAAAATACACAGACAACCAATCCTACCGTCAAACACAAAACGTATTTTTTTTTAAACACACGGTAAACGGTTTAGGGAAAGGGGCTGAGCTGGACCCAAGGAATGAAATAATAAATTCAAAAACCCCTAAACTGATCCTGCCTGCCTCAAGAACCGCTTAGCTTGCTACCAACTATACAAAAATACAGTGGGTGGTCCGCTCAGGTCTAACTAGTGTTTTTAGACAAAGTTTTCCTACGGGTAATGGCGACTTGCTAAAAATCCCCTTTTCCTAAGCACAAACAAACAACATGGGTAAAATAGGGACTAAACAGCAAACGAGTGACTAGACAATAGCAAACAAGACACCCCAGTAATACATACTCACATGGAACAGGACAGAGTGAGATGTATGGGCTATGACTATGTGGTGTATGAAGGAACAAAGGTAGTCTGTCTATCAAAAAGGTCTGTGACAAGAAGTAGGTGTCTGTGTAGCCTAATGTGTGAGAAAGCTAAAAAAAAGAGTATTGGTGAGAAACACAACTGACTGGGTTTTTAAACCAGGGGATGTGTGATGTGATTGGGTAATGAAAACCAGAAACAGAAACAGGTGGTGCAATCACTAGTATCTGCCCTTGTGCTATCGTGACTTCAACATCTACACATCATTCATGTATCCAGACACCATTCTATTATGTGAGCACAGCGATATCAACAAATCTGTACATTAAGTTCATGTTCAGAAAACCACTTTTAGAGAATGGCGCCGGAGGGAATGGCGGCTGTTTTACGGGCTCTTGACCAATTGTGCTATTTTGTGTATTTCTTTCCACTGATCTTAACTTATTTTCTACAAAATGTTTCCGCCATCGTTTCCTATGACCGAAAAGAGCTTCTGGACATCAGAACAGCCATCACTAACCTCGATTTGGACGAGGACTTCTACTTCAATGAGTTGGAGGCGAAAGACATATTGATTAACCCCGGACCAGGCCCTAATCCCTGACACTCGAAGAAGGTAAAGACGGCACTGTAGAGGCCGGCGCTCGGGCACCCTAATGAGACTACAGCGGTAAATGAATGAATCACCTCTACCCTCTGTTCTATTGGCGAATGAGCAATTGCTGGAGAATAAACTGGATGAGCTCTGTTCGGGACATTAAGAACTGTAATATACTATGCTTCTCGGAGTCATGGCTGAACAAGGACAGGAATAATATACACTACCGGTCAAAAGTTTTAGAACACCTACTCATTCAAGGGTTTTTCTTTATTTTTACTATTTTCTACATTGTAGAATAATAGTGAAGACATCAAAACTATGAAATAACACACATGGAATCATGTAGGAACCAAAAAAGTGTTAAACAAATCAAAATATATTTTAGATTTTAGATTTTAGATTCTTCAAATTAGCCACCCTTTGCCTTGATGACAGCTTTGCACACTCTTGGCATTCTCTCAAAAACTCAAACAAGAAGTACCAGTGACGCACTCAATACAGAAATGGTCCGATGAAGCGGATGCTAAGCTACAGGACTCTTTCTCTAGCACAGACTGGAATATGTTCCGGAATTCATCTGATGGCATTGAGGAGTTTACCACATCTGTCACCGGCTTCATTAATAAGTGCATTGACGACGTTGTCCCCACAGTGACCATACATACATACATATCCCAACCAGAAGCCATGGATTACTGGCAACATCCGCACTGAGCTAAAGGCTAGAGCTGCCACTTCAAGGAGCAGGACACTAATCCTGCTATGCCCTCCAACGAACCATCAAACAGGCAAACCGTCAATACAGGACTAAGATCAAATCCTACTACACCTGCTCTGACACTCGTCAGATGTGGCAGGGCTTGCAAACTATCACGGATTACAAAGGGAAATCCAGTCGAGAGCTGCCCAGTGACGCGAGTCTATCAGACGAGCTAAATACATTTACATTTTAGTCATTTAGCAGACGCTCTTATCCAGAGCGACTTACAGTTAGTGAGTGCATACATTTTTCATACTGTAAATGCCTTCTATGGTTGCTTCGAGGCCAGCAACATTGAACCATGCTCTCCCGGACGACTGTATGATCACGCTGTCCGTAGCCGATGTGAGTAAGACCTTTAAACTTGTTAACATTCACAAGGCTGCAGGGCCAGACCAGGATGCGTACTCAGAGCATGCGCTGACCAGCTGGCAAGTGTCTTCACTGACATTTTCAACCTCTCTCTGACCCAGTCTGTAATACCTACATGTTTCAAGCAGACCACTATAGTCCCTGTGCCTAAGAAAGCCAAGGTAACCTGTCTAAATGACTACCGCCCCGTATCACTCACATCTGTAGACATGAAATGCTTTAAAAGGCTGTTAATGGCTCACATCAACACCATCATCCCAGAAACCCCGGACCCACTCCAATTTGCATACTCCCCCAACAGATCCACAGATGACGCAATCTCTATTGCACTCCACACTGCCTTTTCCCACCTGGACAAAAGGAACACCTACGTGAGAATGCTGTTCATTGACTACAGCGCAGCGTTCAACACCAAAGTGCCTAATCACTAAGCTAAGGACCCTGGGACTGAACACCTCCCTCTGCAACTGGATCCTGGGCTTCCTGACGGGCCGCCACCGGGTGGTGAGGGTAGGCAACAACATATCCACCATGCTGACCCTCAACACGGGGGCCCCTCAGGGGTGCGTGCTAAGTCCTCTCCTGTACTCCCTGTTCACCCACGACTGCGTGGACGCGCACAACTCTAACACCATTATTACCTTTTACGACGACACAACGGTGGTAGTCCTGATCACGGACGACGATGAGACAGCCTATAGGGAGGAGGTCAGAGACCTGGCAGTTTGGTGCAACAACCTCTCCCTCAATGTGGGCAAGACAAAGGAGCTTATCGTGGACTACAGAAAACGAAGAGCCGAGCACGCCACCATTCACATCGACGAGGCTGTAGTGGAGCGGGTCGAGAGCTTCAAGTTCCTCGGTGTCCACATCACTAAGGACCTATCATGGTCCAAACATACCAACACAGTCGGGAAAAGGGCACGAAAACACCTCTTCCCCCACAGGAGGCTGAAAAGATTTCGCATGGGCCCTCAGATCCTCAGAAAGTTCTACAGCTGCACCATTGAGAGCATCTTGACTGGCTGCATCACTGCTTGGTATGGCAACTGCTCGGCATTCGACCGCAAGGCGCTACAGAGGGTAGTGCGTACGGCCCAGTACATCACTGGGGCCGAACTCCCTGCCATCCCAGGATCTCTATACCAGGCGGTGTCAGAGGAAGGCCCTTTCCAAATCATGTCCAATCAATTAAATTTACCACAGGTGGACTCTAATCAAGTTGTAGAAACATCTCAAGGATGATCAATGGAAACAGGATGCACCTGAGCTCAATTTCGAGTCTCATAGCAAAGTGTCTGATTACTTACGTAAATAAGTTATTTCTGTTGTTTTTTTCTGTCATTTGCAAACATTTCTAAAAACCTATTTTCGCCTTGCCATTATGGGGTATTGTTTGTAGATTGCTGATTAATTGTTTTTATAATCCATTTTAGAATAAGGCTGTAACATAACAAAATGTGGAAATAGTCAAGTGGTCTGAATACTTTCCGAAGGCACTGTATGTCCTGATTGCCTAGTCACTTTTACCCCTACACACTGTATTACCTCAATTACAGTGGGGAAAAAAAGTATTTAGTCAGCCACCAATTGTGCAAGTTCTCCCACTTAAAAAGATGAGAGGGGCCTGTAATTTTCATCATAGGTACACGTCAACTATGACAGACAAAATGAGAAAAGATAATCCAGAAAATCACAATGTAGGATTTTTAATGAATTTATTTGCAAATTATGGTGGAAAATAAGTATTTGGTCACCTACAAACAAGCAAGATTTCTAGCTCTCACAGACCTGTAACTTCTTCTTTAAGAGGCTCCTCTGTCCTCCACTCGTTACCTGTATTAATGGCACCTGTTTGAACTTGTTATCAGTATAAAAGACACCTGTCCACAACCTCAAACAGTCACACTCCAAACTCCACTATGGCCAAGACCAAAGAGCTGTCAAAGGATACCAGAAACAAAATTGTAGACCTGCACCAGGCTGGGAAGACTGAATCTGCAATAGGTAAGCAGCTTGGTTTGAAGAAATCAACTGTGGGAGCAATTATTAGGAAATGGAAGACATACAAGACCACTGATAATCTCCCTCGATCTGGGGCTCCACGCAAGATCTCACCCCGTGGGGTCAAAATGATCACAAGAACGGTGATCAAAAATCCCAGAACCACACGGGGGACCTAGTGAATGACCTGCAGAGAGCTGGGACCAAAGTAACAAAGCCTACCATCAGTAACACACTACGCCGCCAGGGAGTCAAATCCTGCAGTGACAGACGTGTCCCCCTGCTTAAGCCAGTACATGTCCAGGCCCGTCTGAAGTTTGCTAGAGTGCATTTGGATGATCCAGAAGAGGATTGTGAGAATGTCATATGGTCAGATGAAACCAAAATATAACTTTTTGGTAAAAACTCAACTCGTCGTGTTTGGAGGACAAAGAATGCTGAGTTGCATCCAAAGAACACCATACCTACTGTGAAGCATGGGGGTGGAAGCATCATGCTTTGGGGCTGTTTTTCTGCAAAAGGACCAGGACGACTGATCCGTGTAAAGGAAAGAATGAATGGGGCCATGTATCGTGAGATTTTGAGTGAAAACCTCCTTCCATCAGCAAGGGCATTGAAGATGAAACGTGGCTGGGTCTTTCAGCATGACAATGATCCCAAACACACCGCCCGGGCAACGAAGGAGTGGCTTCGTAAGAAGCATTTCAAGGTCCTGGTGTGGCCTAGCCAGTCTCCAGATCTCAACCCCATAGAAAATCTTTGGAGGGAGTTGAAAGTCCGTGTTGCCCAGCGACAGCCCCAAAACATCACTGCTCTAGAGGAGATCTGCATGGAGGAATGGGCCAAAATACCAGCAACAGTGTGTGAAAACCTTGTGAAGACTTACAGAAAACGTTTGACCTGTGTCACTGCCAACAAAAGGTATATAACAAAGTATTGAGAAACTTTTGTTATTGACCAAATACTTATTTTCCACCATAATTTGCAAATAAATTCATTAAAAATCCTACATTGTGATTTTCTGGATTATCTTTTCTCATTTTGTCTGTCATAGTTGACGTGTACCTATGATGAAAATTACAGGCCCCTCTCATCTTTTTAAGTGGGAGAACTTGCACAATTGGTGGCTGACTAAATCCTTTTTTCCCCCACTGTACCTCAACTACCTCGTACCCCTGCACATTGACTCGGTACTGGTACTACTTTTATATAGCCTCGTTATTGTTTTTATTGTGTTACTATTTCCTTTTTTATTTAGCAAATATTTGTCTTAATTTTTAACTCTGCACTGTTGGGAATGGGCTCGTAAGTAAGCATTTCACTGTAAAGTCTACACCTGTTGTATTCGGGACATGTGACCAATACAATTTGATTTGACTTCAGAGGAACGTTCTGCTGATAGATACAGCGAGAGTGAATTGATGATGTCATAAACGTCATACATATTCAGGCTTATCCCTAACAACAAGACAACACACAGACACTATCAAAGCATTGCAGCAGCAATGGTCCATTCCCTTGATGAAGAAAAAGGCAGACCAGCTGCATTTAGAGCTCTGTCAGAGTGACCATCATTGAAATGACGTGGAAACAACATTGATTCAACCAGTGTGTGCCCAGTGGGTAGGTCCAGTGTGATCTATATAAAAACATGGAGGCTGTCAGAAGCTGTCTCGGCCGTGTCAAAGTGAGCAATCTGATCTGTCTGGAAGACATCAGTGTGTGCGCCTGGAGCACCAGAGGGGGGAAGAGACACACACACACTCACGCACGCATGCATGCGCACACACACAGAGATACAAATCTTCTAGGACAAGCGAGGCAGCCTGGCCAAAATTAAAGCCATGAGTCTTAGGGAACAGAACTATAATGACAGTCTGCCATGCCTGCCAGGGGTGAATGGAACATGGACAGACAGACGGAAGGATAGAGAGCAAGAGAAGGAGGGGGATAGTGTTCTACAAGGGGTTGTTGTTCATCCCTGGAGGGAGGGAGGGGGGGGAGGGAGGGGCAAACAAGGAAGAAGGGGAGAGAGAGCAAAGAGAGAGAGAGAGAGAGAGAGAGAGCAAACAAAGAGAGAGAGAGGCAAACAAGGGGAAGAAGAGAAAGAGAGAGAGAGAGACGAGAAGAGAGAGCAAGAGAAGAATAGAGAGAATAGAGATAGAGAGGCAAACACGGATGAGAGAACAAGAGAGAGAAGAGGAGAGAGAAAGAGAGAGGAGAGAGAGAGGCCAAAGAATGAGAGAAAGATAAGGGGAAGAGAGAGAGAAAGAGCGGGAGAAGAGAGAGAGAGAGTGAGAGAGCGAGAGAGAGCAGAGAGGCAAACAAGGAGAGAAGGGGAAGAAATGGAGAGGAGATAGAGAGAGATAGAAGGCAAAAGAAGGAAGAGAAAGAGAAGGGGAGAGAGAGAGAGAAGAGAGAGAGAAAGAGGCAAAGAAGGAGAGAAAGAGAAGGGGAAGAGAGAGAGAGAGAAGAGAGAAAAGCGGCTTGACAGACGGGGGGAAATAATGAGAAAGGCAGAAGGAAGTAGAGGACTAGATATAGAGGGTAGAGTAATGAGGTAGTAGAGTTGAGAGAGAGAGAGACAGATAGAGAGAGAGAGAGACACAGCTGGAGCTGGAGCTGAAGCATTAATGGCCGTCCTGTCCTCCTCTTATAAAGAGAGGGCCAGTAACAGGGTAGAGCAGGCCTCTCTCCATCTCTCTCTTTCTCTGTCTCTTTCTCTCGCTTTCTCCCTCTCTCTTCTTTTCTCTATCCCGCTCTCTCTTTCTCTCCCTCTCTCTCTCTCTCTCTCTCTCTCTCTCTCTCTCTGTCTCTGTCTCTCTCTGTCTCTCTCTGTCTGGCTGTACTGTAATAGACTGTAATAGTCAGCACTGGGCTGATTAGGCTTTAGAAAGGGAACTGGAGCAGAGAGAGCAGGTTTACTCTACTTATTACACTGCAATTACCCCCCCCCCCCCCAGCGTTCCTCTCAGCCCCAGATACGGGAATTGTGGCTTTGTTTAGGCACCAAGGGTCCACCTGATGACCCAGTGGACCAGACACACACACACACAAGGGCGCACCCACATAAACATAGACTGCCCTCAATGACCCCGCTGAAGAGACACACGCACACTCCTCTTTTCATCCACCCCATCCCCCAACACACAGTACCATCTTTGGCAGACTACAGCAGTCTCACTGACTACTAGAAGGAGTTGTACCGTGTTTTAATGAAGAATGGAACCTTAGGACATAATAACAGTAGGATTGTGTTTCCAGTCCAGTGTGTATGGGGGTCAGTCAGTAGAAAATGAGTGTGGTTTTCCAAATGGCACCCTATTCCCTACCTAGTGGACTACAAAAGTAGTGCACTGTATTGGGAATAGAATACCATTTGGGATGCAGTCTCTGTGCAGCCAGGCAGGATGATGGATTAACACACCTTTAATAACAGAACACTGACTCACTGAGTACAGGCCTAGAAGAACCTAACAGACGTCAGGTTCATATGATGCTGCTGGCACGGTTACTATAGCAGGCAGATACTAATGATGTTGCTGTGTGTCTCTTGCCTCTTTCCGTGCCTGTCTGAAGTGTCTTGTCTCCTTCGTCCTCCTCAGGCCTACCCGTCTTTGAAGCCACTGGCATCGTGGACCCGAGACCTGTGCCAGCGTGTGGAGCAGTTTGCCCGCTGGGCAGAGACGGCCCACCCCCCCACCCTGTTCTGGCTCTCTGGCTTCACCTTCCCCACTGGCTTCCTCACCGCTGTGTTACAGTCGTCCGCACGTCAGCACAACGTGAGGACACACACACATATATTTATACAGACACACACACACACACGTACACAGACACACAGCACTGACCCCTTACTCTGCACACTCACCAAACAAAACCACTGAGCACACTTTCAAACTGTGTTCACAGACTAACCTCAACCACAACCACTCTATACCACACACACTCATAGACCACTGCTGCTGCACAGGAATGGGTCGTGTTTGGTTTCTAATTATGCCCACATAATAACTTTTCTAAGGATATATAGTACCACTGTAGGGATAATAAAGATTACTTGAACTTCAACCATGCCAAGTTAACCTCAACATCAACAGATGAAGTGTCTGGTGTGACAGCATTAAGATACTGTCCTCTAAAGTCAAATGTTCACTTAGTCATGCGTTGAGGTCAATGGGAGACTTAGTGAAAATCTGACTAACACGTATGCGTTACCCACAGGTGTCAGTGGACACTCTATCCTGGGAGTTCATCGTTGCTACAGTGGACGACAACAACCTCCTCTTCCCACCCAAGGTGAGACACCAGGTTTTCACTATAAATCAGTGACCTTTTCTCCAAAACTATTTTCCCTAAATGTGTCTAGTTTAGGGCCCTGAATATTCTTCCTGGTCAGACCACATGGTCAGAAAAAAACCCAGGGCCCTAATCTATTGTAAGTCATGTAACTCATTTTCTCATTCCTCCTCCCTCTTTCCTCCCCTCCTCCATCCATCCCCTCCTCAGGACGGGGTGTTTATCCAGGGGCTGTATCTGGAAGGGGCTGGCTGGGACAAGAAGAACTCCTGTCTGGTGGAGGCTAAGCCAATGCAGCTGGTCTGCCCCATCCCCACCATCCACTTCAAACCTGTCGAGAACCGCAAGAAGATAGCCAAGAGTAAGACAAGAAAAATGTTTCCTCTCTTTCTCTCTCTCTCTCTCTCTCTCTCTCTCTCTCTCTCTCTCTCTCTCTCTCTCTCTCTCTGTCTGCCAAGTGACTGTGATATAATGTCTGTGTCCTGTCTATGTGTGTGTGTGTGTGTGTGTGTGTGTGTCTAGGTATGTACTTGTGTCCGTGCTACTACTTCCCAGTGCGTTCTGGCGATGGGGGCAGACCCTCCTTTGTGGTAGGGGTGGACCTCAAGTCTGGAGCTGTGCCTTTTGACCACTGGATCAAGAGAGGAACCGCTCTGCTCATGAGTCTAGATAACTAAGGGGCTACACACACAGTATACACAACCTTTATGCACATCTCTGAATCACACTTTATTCATTAATGAATACAATACTCTTAGGTAAAACACAAACATACTCCACAACGTGCCTTTTGAAAAGTCATTAGAAAGTTTTTTTTGTGTGTTGATTTACATAATTCTTGTTAATTATCTCAATGTTTTGTCCTTTCAAAAATATTTGAATTCCTCAAAAGATTAACTGAAATGATTGCACTTTATTCTAATATTTTTTAATAATTCAAATAAAATATGAATTTATTAACTGATATTGTAAATAAAAGACATAATTGTTGATGATTTACTCTTTGGGGTTTGACTGACATGGTTGTATCAAGGACTCCCACATTGCTCTATATTCAACTCCTCATGATTCCCTTCCTAATACAGCACTACATCACTCTTTCCACTGTGACCCCTTTTAACCTGCTGAAAGAGCTCTGCACAATACAGTAAAGACGCACACACACGCACGCACACACACACACACACACACACACACACACACACACAGAGAGACAGGACACAGACATTACATCACACACACACACACACACACACACACACACAGAGAGACAGGACACAGACATTACATCACACACACACACACACACTTGAATAAATAGACAATCTCTTCATTGTAATTATTCTCTGGTAATTATTCACACACAGAGAGACTAGATGTATTATCCACTGTAGAGCCTTTACTTGTACTCCTTTTTTTTGTGATCAAGTTTTTATACTTTTTTGGTTGACAGGACAGAAAAACCCAAACCAACAGACATTACACAGATACACATTTATCCCCCACTCCCCTTCCCACTCACAGGACCTGCTTATCTGAGTACATACAGTGCCTTCGGAAAGTATTCAGACCCCTTGACTTTTTCCACATTTTGTTACATTACAGACTTATTCTAAAATTGATAAAAATAAATAAAAAAATAGATAATCCTTGAGATTTTTCCACAACTTGATTTGACATGATTTGGCAAGGCACACACCTGTCTACATAAGGTCCCACAGTTGACAGTGCATGTCAGAGCAAAAACCAAGCCATGAGGTCGAAGGAATTGTCCGTAGAGCTCCGAGACAGGATTGTGTCGAGGCACAGATCTGATGAAGGGTACCAAAAAATGTCTGCAGCATTGAAGGTCTCCAAGAACACAGTGGCCTCCATCATTCTTAAATGCAAGAAGTTTGGAAACACCAAGACTCTTCCTAGAGCTGGCCGCCCGGCCAAACTGAGCAATCGGGGGAGAAGGGTCTTGATCAGGGAGGTGACCAAGAACCCGATGGTCACTCTGACAGAGCTCTAGAGTTCCTCTGTGGAATCAGGCCTTTATGGTAGAGTGACCAGACGGAAGCCACTCCTCAGTAAAAGACATCATGCTGTGGGGATGTTGTTCATCGGCAGGGACTGGGAGACTAGTCAGGATAGAGGCAAATATGAACAAAGCAAAGTACAGAGCAATCCTTGATGAAAACCTGCTCCAGAGCAACTGGGGTGAAGGTTCACCTTCCAACAGGACAACGAACCTAAGCACACAGCCAAGACAACGCTGGAGTGGCTTCGGGACAAGTCTCTGAATGTCCTTGAGTGGCCCAGCCAGAGCCCAGACTTGAACCCGATCTAACATCTCTGGAGAGACCTGAAAATAGCTGTGCAGCAACGCTTCCCATCCAACCAGACAGAGCTTGAGTGGATCTGCAGAGAAGAATGGGAGAAACTCCCCAAATACAGGTGTGCCAAGCTTTTAGCGTCATACCCAAGAAGACTCAAGGCTGTAATCGCTGCCAAAGGTGCTTCAACAAAGTACTGAGTAAAGGGTCTGAATACTTATGTAAATGTGACCATGAATGAGGAAATCCATTGCTGGTGTGGCAGAGTGTGTGGGGCTTGCCATCGTAAGGCAACCATTCTCTTGGCTGCTGTTAGTCCGTCAAGCCAAATCCTTCTGTGCCTTTATGTTAGGTTCAGTGAAGAATCATCATTAAGCAGGAGCACATTGGAAAGACATGGAATGGGTTTGGACAAAATGCTTGATAATGATGAAGCCACCGATTGCCAAAAGGGCACTCCCAGACTATATGAATGAATGTGCCATGAGTACCCTGGGGGCTTGTCCTCCTTTTTGATCTTCCTTAGTAACATCTAGAGGTAGTGAATGTCTCTGTGTGTTAGTGTGTCTTCTGTGTGAAATGTTGTTTACCTGTGTAGGGATTTTTCTTCCATTGATATCCTTTATATATATATATATTATGATTTATTTTTTGGGATGGAAAAACCCTTTCAGTGTGAACTTAAATTACTAAAACCAGATAGAAAGTAGATAGAATATATATATATTTTTTAATAATATAATATAATCTTTGAGAATTAACAATCCCCAAAATAAAAGCTAGACAGTCAGGGAGAATTGAAAATTCCAAAAACAATGAATTTAGCAGTATTGGTTTTGTTATTATGTTTGAGCAAAAGAACACAGCATTAGCCATGGCAAAATGCATAGAATTACATTTTCTCTCATCTCCATGGCAGAATATGTAGAATCGCAGGAAATTAGCTTTAAAACTGCAACATTTTCTCTCAGTTCCATGGCAAAATGTGTAGAATTGCAGGAAATTTGCTTTAAAACTGAAACTGTTTCTCTCAGCTCCATGGAGAAATGTTTAGAATTGCAGGAAATTGGTTTAAATATCCTAAAATGTCTCTACACCGCCAAGATGGGGGCCTCAAAAATGTTCTCTCAAATCCAGCACCGACCGCTCCCATTGCCACGCCCCCTGCCACACCCACCACCTAAGCCCATTTTTGATCCAGAAAAAACCCTGCTGTGTGTGTTTGCTTCAACTTTATGTGTTTGTTTGTAGGATTGGCAAAGTGCTGAAATGTCTGATTGCCACATTTTATGTCAGGATGGCAAACTGCATGCATACACACACACACACACACAAACAAACACACACATGCACACACAAACACAATGTGCTTAATCAAGGTGAGATAAAGGAAATGTTTATGCTAACACATTTTCTCTCAAAGTGAAAGTAGGAGGAACATTCTAATGAACTAAACCAGAGACAGTTGCTGAGTACACTACACACACAGAGAGAGACACACACACTGTAAAGGCTTCAACACAAAGTTATTCAAAGGAGGGGAAAACAAGAGAGGGACTGGGGAGAAAGGGTGAAACAGAAGAAACGGTTGTGAAGGAGGGAGGGAGTGGGGGCCTCCCTCTAGTTCAAGGCCGTATTCAGGCGGGAATGTCTTCTGAAAGAGACAGAGAGACCGTTAAGGGCCTCATTATGTGGTCCAGGTTTGGGCTGTGTGTGTGTGTGTGTGTGTGTGTGTGTGTGTGTGTGTGTGTGTGTGTGTGTGTGTGTGTGTGTGTGTGTGTGTGCTACCAGTTGTTGTTGGGGAGCTCATAGCAACATGCTGAATTCAAATTCAAATAAGCTTCTATGTTCATCTGAGGCAGTGTTGTAACGGAAAGCTCAGTCATGTTTGTTGAAAGCGAGAAAATTGTTTTTTATTTGAGATGAAAAAACTCTCAATGTAACATATACAGTAATTATTGTTGTGCATTACACTTTCTATAGAAGAGGAGTGTGTGTGGGTCTCAAAGGGTCAATAGTTAAAAAATAAACTTCAACTAGTCTTTTACAGAACTCCCCTGGTATTTTTAGGAGGCATTTGCTGTTGGAAGCAAACCTTTCCCATCTGCTTATTCAATTAAATGCTGTAAAACGAGATCCACTATTCCTAGAGAAACGTTTTGGAAAATCCAATGTGCTAACCCTTGATAGTGTGTATAGTAAACTAATGTTATTATCCACAGTGGTGAACTGGCCTGTTATCTAAAATAAATCATTATTATAAAAACATCACTATATAAAATAACTTAATAAATCCCAAGTGCCCCGTATGGACTTGCATTAACTATGTCCAGCTGAAATTATAGCAGAAATGATTGAGCAAACCCTCAAATAATGGAAAAATCAGGGTAATTTGTTCTCTGAAGAATAGAGCGCTAATGGAATTTCAGCAAGTCAAACAGTGTGTGTTTGCCAGTGAGTACGAAGGCTGGGCAGTTTATGTCCAAGACTCGTCCACCAAAAATAAACCTGTATGAGAGGGAAAGAGAGAGAGAGCAAGAGAGAGGGAGGAGGAAGATAAGAGCCCTTCCACAGAGAAGAGTGGGGGGAACAGTATGCGTTTCAATTGATTAAGAACTGCGCAATTTCCTAATAGTCATCGGTGCTTTGGTCCTGGTGTCCTCCTAAAATATATTGATATCTAAAGGCGTGTTTGGATTGAACATGCGTGTGGCAAACCCGCCCGCGGTGCACGCATAGCCTATACCGGCGATTGTAGCAGCTACGTACGTGGCTTGGCGATTTTGAAAAGGGTTATTCAGTTCTTCTGCGAGAGGGCTGTACATTCATTTTGGAAGACGATATGCAAGATGAAAGATTACTGTACAGCTTTGAAACTGTGCAACAACACGAGCCTAATTGGTATGCCATGCCCATGGCTGATTCTCTAAACGCTCTCATCTCTCCCAAGCAGCGATTTCATAATGTATCTGCGTGTACAGTTTCTCCAAGCCGACATTTTCTAAATGGATTAAGGATTTTTGGCACATTATTCACCTATTACTTAATTTTGGGAACGGTTTTGGGGGGCTACGTGGCTGAACGAACGTCATTCGTGTGGAAAGAATATGTATTACGACGTTTTTCTTAATGTTACAGTGTGCAGCAACGGCACCTCCCATGAGAAAGCAGCATGCACAAACAGGTAAGACGAAAACGCCTTTACTGATATAGCCTAATTAACACAGGCTTATAATGTTTCATAATTAACCAGAATTACTGTAGCAGAGAACGTGTAGCCAAAATTAGATCTAGAACGAATGGTATTGAGTTCATTCCTACTTTATAGGCTACTGGTATGCTACGTCCAATGATTGTAA